CATGAGTTTGAAGCCAGTATGAGCTACAGTAAATTCAACGCCAGGCTGAACTACCTAGCAAGACCCTGTCTGAAAAAACAGGCTATCATAATTTTCTATAATAGCCTCCACTGTGTTTCCCAGATGCAGTGTGTAATTTTATTTTTAGTGTTTTTTTTTTTTTTCCTTTTCTTTTCCTTTCTTTGGTACCAGGGATTGAACTCTGGCCCTTGCACTTGGGAAGCAGGCAGCAGAACCACTGAGCCAAATCCCCGGCCCTTAACGCAGCATGTAATTTTACCTTTGCTCTCTCCCTCTTTTCCTAGTTACTTGATCCAAACTCACTCTGTTTTTCTCTCACCACTTATTTTTGCTTTCTCGAATAAACTTTACCAGCTGCTTTTTGCTCATTTCATTCAATTCTTTGAGGCAACTAGAACCTAGAATACAACTCTAGAAGGAGAGGCAAGCTATGCAGAACCTGGTAATGAAGCACTTTTTAGGAACAACCTACCCCAAAGGTGGGCGTGGTGGCGCACGCCTGTAATCCCAGCAATTTGGGAGGCTGAGGCAGGAGGATCGCTGTGAGTTCGAGACCAGCCTGGGCTACACAGTGAGTTCCAGGTCAGTCTCAACTACATAGTGAGACCCTGTCTCCAAAAAAAAAAAACAGAAAGAAAGAAACAACCCACCCAGAGGAACCAAGAGAGAGTGAAACGAACTTTCTGGAACAAGAACAGAGGCTTGGAGCCTGAATGGAATATAGTATAAGGGGACGGAAAGAAGGCTAGCTGCTGCTGCTGCTGCTTTGTTGCCTTCTGCCTGCTTACCATGGACTATTTCTCCTCTGTGAAGCCCCTCTTCCCTGCTGCCCTGCCTTGGAGCCAGCTGACTATGGACTGAAACCTCTACAGACTGAAAGTTAAATAAACCTTTCTTTAAAAAAAAAAAAAAAACTATAAAACAAAACCCCCCAAATTAAAAATTAGTTTAGGGCTGGAAGCATAGCTCAGTGGTAGAACATATGTTTAGCACATACTAAAGTTAAAATAGTTAGGTGTGGTGGTACATGCCTATAATCTCTAAGGCTGAGGCAGGAGGATTGCCAGGAGTTTAAGGCCAGCCTGAATGAATGAAATAGCAAAACCCTGTCTCAAAAAAATATATATTAAAATTAAATAAAATGAATTTTAAAATAGAAATTGAGTCAGATACAGTGGCACATGCCTGTAATCTCAGAACTCAGGAGGCTGAAGCAGGAGGATCTCTGAGTTTGAGGCCAGCCTGGCTACATAGTGAGTTACTACATAGCCAGACCCTGTCTCTGAAAATAAATAAATAAATATCTACCTTTAAGTAGTTGAAATGAATGAAAGATGAATTAAGAGGGCTGGGGGTGTTATAGCTCAGTGGTAGAGTGCTGGTATGTGCCAGGCCCTACCTGGGCTGAATCCCTGGTACAAATAATAATAGTGATAAAAATGCTTTGAGGGGGTGGAGACATTCTGAGGTGCCAGTAGTTGTTCCCTTTCTTTCTCTGAGTACCCCTGACATGTACAATTTCAATGTGTGAAAATTTCTCAGTGGTCCAGCTCTAGAATGCACATTTTCTCAGACACATATTATAGTTCGACTTGAAAAATTACAAGTAGAATAAAAAGTTGCTTTGGGATTGCTCAAAATGAAGAGATCACCCTTGAAACTGATTGTTTTGTGTGTGTGATGCTGGGACCAAACTCAGGGCCTTGTGTGCAGCAGGAAGGTGCTCTACACTGAGCTACATGCCAGGCCAGGATCACCCTTTAAAAATGCAACCTCCAGCTGAGCATGGTGCTGCACACTTGTAATCCCAGCCCTCAGGAGGCTGAGGCAGGATGATCGCCAAGAATTTGAGACCACCCTGGGCTACACAGTGAGTTCAAGGCCAGTCTGAACTACACAGTGAGACCCTGTCTGGAAAAAACAAAAGCAAAACCAAGCAAAAAAAAAAGTACCTTCAAAATAATAATGATAATGATTAACTACTGTGCTGCAACTCTAGCTGAGCATGCTGGTACATTCAAGTAATCCCAGCACTGTGAGAGGCTGAGGCAAGTTGATCGAAAGTTAAAGAAAAGGGTGGGGGCAGGGATTTGGATCAGTGGTTCTACCGTCTGCCTCATAAGCACAAGGTCCCAAGTTCAATCCCCGTTACCCCCACAAAAAAAAGAAAGAAAGAAAGTTCAACTCCCATCTGGGCAACTTAGCAAGACCCTGTCTCAAAAATTTAAAAAACTAAAATAAAATGGGCTGGGGATGTAGCTCCCCAGTACAAAAACAAAAAATGCATCTCCAGGGAAATCCTAGCTTGGCCCCTCCCTTGGTGGACAGCCTGGGGTGAGTCCTGTTCTAGCCCTCAGCTTTTGGTTGCCAGTCTGCAAACTGGGTTGATATTAAATAGCAGCAGTCTGGAAATGCAGCTCAGTGGTAGAGAATTTGCCTAGCACACACAAGGCCTTGAGTTCCATCCCCAGCACAGCAATAACAACAGCAACAACAATAATAATAATACAGGACATGCTTTCTAAGGTTGTTGGGAGGGTTCTGTGAAAGGAGGCCTGGAAATGCCATGTTGCATAGCGTTCATGTCAGCCAGAGAAATTCAAAGCCGGCACCTTCAGAATGCTGCGGGTGGGTGCCTGCTCCTTCTCACCACCAGCCCCAGCGCCATCCCTGACACCAAACAAGGCAGCCATCGGCCCTGCCCTGGGAGAGATGGCCCCGCCCACCCCGCTGGGGACGCCTTATCTGGCAGTGGAGATGCCCAGCGCCAATGTTGTCCACACCCAGGGAGCGCTGGTTTGTCAAGTCCGCCTCGGCAGCCACCAGACAGGAACTTGTTTTGCAAGGTGTGTGGGCTCCCAGGAGGGAGTGCAGAACATGGACCCTGGCTGGTGCCACTTTCTACATCCATGTGCCTTCTTGAGTGACAGGCACTGGCCTGGCACAGGAGCGCCCCAAGGCTGGCCCCATCAACCCACGTCCCAGCCTCCTCTCCACTGTATCCCTCAGCCCACAGTCAAGACAACCTACCTCCCACCTAGCATCTCCCTGCTCCCTTCCTGCTCTTGCTTTCGGCAACACCAAAGGGCTGCCACGACGCAGCAGCCATACCCCACATAGTGCCCCACCCCAGAAGGTCTGAAGGGAAAGGGGGCTCCAGATGTGGTGCTCTCCTCTGAGCACCCCGTGTTCCTGGAATTCTGAGAAAACGCTTCAGGGAGAATAGAGCCGAGTTGACAGTCAGGTGAAGGACATTCACACTGAAACTTCGAAGCCTGCAGCTTGCTTTCTTTTTTATACAGGGTCCCACTATGTAGTTCAGGCTGGCCTTGAACTCACTATGTAGCCCAGGCTGGCCAAACTTGTGTCTTTCTTTTTTATACAGGGTCCCACTATGTAGTTCAGGCTGGCCTTGAACTCACTATGTAGCCCAGGCTGGCCTCAAACTTGTGGCAATCCTCCTGCCTCAGCCTCCCAAGTACAAGAATGACAGGTGTGTTCCAGCACACCAGGCTGCCTGCAGCTTTCTTGAGCTAAAGGAGATCCTGGCAGAAAAAGTGTTTAAAGCCCTGGTAATCTAGATCATTCATGGGATGTAATCATCCCAGCGTTCCAGGCCTGGACATGAATTTCAGAGAGGATTTTCCTTAGCTGTGTGACCTCAGACAGATCTGTAACTGTCCGAGCCTCCATTTCATCATCTGTAAGACAGGAACCACTTTTCCTCACCTCGTGGGACTGCGGTGATAGGGAGCATTTTTAAAGTGCTCAGCTCACTGCCAGGCACACAGCAAACCCTTGATCAGAGAGAACTGTCGTTCCTGTCACTGCCATCATACTCATGATTGTCACCTGGCCACTTGGGATTTGAAGAACAGCCCCCCAAGGTTTGTTGGGGAGGAGAGATGACATTCCACTCTCTGAAAGTCTCCTGGGTCACCTGAACCCTTCAAGAGATAGCAGCACAGGTTGCCACCAAGATACCAGCCCAGAGCTGATGTTACAGCTCAGAAACCCAAGCTGGGCTGTACAGAGAAGCCGGGGCCATCGGAAAGTGGCCCAGGGTTTGGGGGTCAGACAGAGCTTGTTTGTTCAAATCCCAGCTGCCCCACTGGGTGTCCCTGAATGTGTGCTTCCTTTCTCTGGACCCAGGACCCTCTCCTATAAAATGAGGGTGCCTGCGAGAAAGCTGGGGAGGCTCCCCCTCTTCTGGGATGGCTTAGTGGTGAGGAGTCAGGGAGGAGCTTGCCGTTGCCAGCTCTGCCTAGACTGAGTGCCAGGACCCAGAAATCGGGGAGAAGAGGGGTTCAGGAAAAGAGGACCTCACCGGCCAGATGGAGAGTGATGCTCGTCTGAGGGGTGAGCGGGCAGACAGGACGGGCACCTCCAGCCTAAGCCCACCCAGAACAGCCTCATTTTTTAAATCTCCGCCTCTTCCTCCCTATCTGCCCACCCCCCAGCCCGAGGGTCTCCAGAAGTGACAAGTTCAGTCACACTGCAGGAGCCAGGCTGGGCCAAGAGAAGAGGACCAAGCCATGGGACACCAGATAGCATCTAACGAACAAATGACCCGTGAAATGACCCTCCCACAGCCCTGCAGCCAATCCTGGGACTCACTTTTCCTGGAAGGGTATGGGGAGGCCCTGTGACTACAGAGGAATGGACAGAAGCAACGAGCCCTGGTGAAATGCTGTGAGTCCCAAGGAGGCATCACGGCTCAGCGCTTAGAGCCATCTGGGCTGTCCTCCTGGCTGGGAGATGAGTTCTTGAGCCCCTCGCCACCTCGCCACCTCGAGGCACAGGCCGGAGACACCCTCAGGAGTCCTAGATGCACGCAGAAAGGGAAGCCGCCTGAAAGGATACTTTCACATCCCCCTAGGGTCCTGGAAGTGCGCGAGGGACCCAGGTCCCTTCCTCGGAGCACTCGCTCCGCCAGCCCAGCTCCAGTTAGGGCACCGGACTCCCGCGCGCACACTCACCCCGCAGGTCTTGTCCTCCAGCCTGGATCCTGGTGGGCAGGTGCTGCAACCTCGGCTTTGACCGCGCCGTCCTGGGCTGGCTCTTTAACCCCGCCCGCCCGTCGGAACCCGAAGCCCCGCCCCGGACACGCCCTGGACACGCCCAGATGCCCCGCAGGCCCAGGGCCGTGACTGAGAAAGCGTGGAGACTTACAGACCTGGGGAGACACGCAAAGGGAGGGAGAGGAACTGAGACTTGGAGCCCTGTCCCTGCGGGCAGAGACAGGAAAGACCCTCAGTCAGACGGAAAGACAGCATCAGACGCTGCGCCCTCATACCCCTGCTTAGCTTCCATGAGCGCCCAGTCCCCTCTCTGGACCACCCCCTCCCTCTCCAGGGCCACTCAGGGCCCCCAGCTCAGGGGTGGCTCCCCACCTGGACAGGGGTTCCTAAGCCTCATCTACAAGATGCCACAAAATCCTAGAAACCTCCTCTGGGGCTCCCAGGAATTCTCAAGCTCCAGCAGCGCTCGATTGGCTGGCTTGTTTGTTTTTGGAGACAGTGTCTCAGTATGTAGTTCCAGCCGGCCTCACACTCCTGCCTCAGCCTCCTGAGTGCTGGGATGTACCACACCTAGCCTTCCAGCAGCTCTTGGGAAACAGCCCTCTCACTCTGAATCGGGAGCCCAGCCCCTACCCTCTCCGGGTTCTGCAGCCAGCAGTAGCTGCCCCTCCACAAAGACCTCCAGCTTGGGCCAGCAGAGCTAGGCTGGCTCTGCTCCCCTGTCCCCCACACTCCCCGCCCAGACTCCCCAGCCCTTCTGCCTGGGATGCTGTCCTCGGTGGTAGGGGTGCCTGATGCTCAGTCCACCCTCAGCCGTTGCAGACACCGATGATGGGTTGGTGGGTGGCTGCCTGGCTGGTTGACCTGAGCAAGTGGGAAGCCAGGTGTGAGAAGCTCCACTTGCCTAAACCAGACTCCTCTCTGTTCATTTCAGTAAAGCTCTCTCACTTGGCGTTTGGCCCGTGGAGGGTGACGGTGTCAGGGTGAACGAGTTTTGAAAACAGCAGGACATAGAAGCAATCCACGGGGAGGCCAGAGGAGGCTACGTGAAGGATGTGACATGTGAGCTGGGACTGTAGGGAGAGGTTGGATTTCAACAGGTACAGGAGAGGAGGCGGGGTTCAGGCCGGGAGAAACTGGAAGGTGTGGCTTGGTAGGTGGCTTTCCCTGGCCTTGGGGAGTGAGAGGTGAGGAGATGGGAAAGGCCCAGCTGTGAAGGGCTTTGGAGGGCCAACCTGAGTGGCCAGAGCTGGATCTGGTGGGCAATAGGGAGCCAGGGCTGGTGCTTGAGCAGAGGAAGAACCCCTGTTGCTGTCAGTTGGTCAGTTTTAAAGCATATGGAAGACTTTTTTTTTTTCCCCCAGGGCAAAGATTTAGGTTTTCCAATGATGCTGACAAAGAAGACCTCATTTGGTACTCTGGAAAATACAGAAATTCACAAAGGCAGATGGTTTGAGAGCGATCCTTCCCAAGGCTGAAGAGGGCCAGGAGAAAAGGGTGGGGTCACCGAAGACAGGGAAGAGACTGAGACCTAGGCGCGATAGTTCAGCCCTGTTGGTCGCTGGTGGGACGTGGATTCAAGGAAGCAAGGAAAAACAGGAGGAGAGAATCTCCACCTGGTTTCTCTGCTCTCAGAGAGGTGGAGTCCGGGAAGGAAGAACCAAGTCAAGCATCTGGAGAAAAGCAACTACAGACAGGAGACCTCCTGGGTCTGTGTGTGCAGGCAAATCACACAGCCACTGCAAGCCGCCATCCCTGCAGAGATAACGCGGAGAATGTAGACAGGAAAGCGTGAGACAAGGTTGCACAGAGCCCGTGCTGTGTAACTATCAGCCCTTTGTGTTTTTGGTGTGATTTAGGTCAGCCTAGTGGTTCTCAACTACAGCAGATTTTGACAAGATCTGGAAATATCTTGGTGGTCACAATGGCGAAAGGGTTCCACCTCCTACAGGGTGCCCCTGTTCAGGACAGAGAAGTGTCAGCCATGCTGAGACCAGGAAGCCCTGGACCTATCACCTTCCATCTATAAGGTCTGTGGGATGTTCAGGGCAAAGTGCATCCCAGTCACCTGCATTGGGGAGATGGCGGCTGCCGTGGGCCTAGGTGAATGGGGAATGAGGTCACTGGGGAGGGAGGTGGCCAAGAAGGGGAGGGAGAGAAAGAGCGGTTGGTAACAGGTGCATTTAGAAAGAGGACAGGCGGAGGCACGGGACTGGAGGTGGAGATTAGGGAAGGTGGTCATAGGTACCCTCACTCATACACAGAGGTCAAGAAGCTTAGGCGCTCGAAAGGGAGGGTGCTGTCAGGTTCCCAGGCATCAGTGTGGCACAGGCCTCAGGGCTGAGGTCAGAGAGGACGGGGCGGGGGAAAGCTGACGCAGTTACTGCACTTGGGAGGAATATACATTCACTCAACAAACACCAAGTTCCCACAGGAAGCCAGAAACCAGGGCAGACCCGAGTGTCATGTCTTTGGTGCAGCCTGTCAGCCCTGTCATTTAGCTTCCTCACAAATCCTCGGGCTCTAGAAGGCGGAGGCAAAGATGAATCCCTGTGGATTAAGAAGAAACGGAGGCAGGTGTGAACAGAGAGAAACACACACCGGAAAAGAGTACCTCCTGCGCGCAACACGCTACAGAGGAACATCCAGCAAGGTAAGGAGCTGGGGAAGCCCTGTGTGTGGAAGGGAGGCGCGAACAGACTTTAAGGGCCGGGGAGAAGCATCCCAGACCGGGGATAAAGTTTGCGGAAAGGGCCTGAGCTGGGCTGTGCCTGAAGTGACAGAAAAGACACCACTGGGGCCGCAGTGGGGTGAGCAAGGGGAAGAGTGGGAGGACGGAGGAGGGCAACTGGCGAGATGGGTCGTGTAGGTCCTGGTGGGCTACTGAGAGGACTTCGGTTATCACCTCGAGGAAGGTGAGAGCCACAGGGAGTTCTAAGCAGAGCAATCACTAGTCCTGGCTCATGGCCTTTTGATTTTGTTGTGTCCTGTTGTGTTTTATTAGTTCTTGTGAGACAGGGTCTCACTATGTAGTCTCAGGCTGGCCTTGAATTCACAGGATCCTCCTGCCTCAGCCTCCCGAGTCTTGGGATCACAAGCATACACCAAACCCAGCTATGGCTTTGGTTTTAACCAATTCCCCCTGGCTGAAATACGGACGGATTTAAGGAGGAAAAAGAGCACTCCCAGCACCTAACACACAGTACAAAGAAAATGAGAAGTGAGGAAAAGATAAATTTAGGATAGGTTATCAAAGTGGAACTGACTGAACTTGCTGATAGGTTGGATATAGGATTAAGAGACAAGAAGAGCCATCCACACTGACCCCAAGGTTTGAGGCCGGGACATATTTAAGCTGGAGTTTTCAATGGGGTCATAGGAAGGAAGGGGAGAGGATGGAAGAGAAGGAAGCCAACTGCTGGAGTGAGGTCCCTGCCTTGCCTAGCCTGCATGCACTCCTGGATTCCAAGCCCAGTACGACAAAAAAGTAAAACATCCAAACCTAGCTGGGTATGATGGTGCAACCCTGTAATCCCAGTGCTCTGGGAGGCTGAGTCAGGAGGATTGCCAGCTTGAGCCCAGCCTGAGCAATTTAGCACTTTAGTAAGACCCCCTGTCTCAAAGTAAAAAATAGCCAGGCGTGGTGGCACATGTCTATGATCTCTGAGACAGGAGGGTTGCCTTGAGTTCAAGGCCAGCCTGAACTGCAAAATACGAAACCCTGTCTCAAAAAATCAAAACAAAATAAATAAATAAAAATAATAAAAAGGGCTAGGATGGAGCTCACTGTAAAGGCCTTGGGTTCAATCCCTTGTACTGAAACAAATAAACAAACAAAAAATCTCTCACGTGTGCACGGGGAGATGGCTTGAGATGGTGGGAGGGAAGTGTGTTCCCTGGAAAGGGGCCAGGGCGTGAAAGGGCATTGCTGGGGAGGGGCAGAAGTGGGGAGGTGGGGAAGGGAAGACGACACCTCTCCTGTGGCCAGGTCGCCTGGAGGAGGCGTGAGGGAGGATGGCAAATAGGGCACCTTCTCACAGGCTAAGACTCGGACTGCAGGCTCTCTGCCCTCGGCCTGGAGGGCTACGCCCCCCTCCTCCCCACACAACTTCCATTTTCCCCACAGTGTACAGGTATCAAACTCCACCTCCCTCTACTAGGGCCAGGGACACAGGATTTTTGAAAAAAGTCAATGACGATGCTAAGGCCACTCATGTGTCCCTGCACCCTTCTCCCAGGGCTGGCTGCATTCTGGCCTCCACCCTCCTACCCACCGCCAAGTCAGCGCTCTCTGGTCCTTCAGCCAATCAAACTCCAGCCTCCTCTTTCTCATCCATTTAGACTCTGCCCTCTGCCCCCTCAATCAAGTAAATTCTGCCTCCCTACCCCTCAGCCAGTCAAACACTAGCTTCCTTTCCTTCATCCAATCACACACACTCTGATTCCCAGCCGAATAACCTCCATCTTTCTGCTCCTTAACCACGTAAACTACTCTCCTAATTCTCAGCCAATTAGATTCCCAGCTCCCACTTCCCAGCCAATCAGACTTTGCCTCCCTGCCCATTTGACCAACTACTTCCTTCTTAAGCTCCCTCAGCCAATCAGGTTTGACCCTCCCCACCTATCAGAAGCAACCATCTTGTTCCTCAGGCAATACAAAGGCCCCTTTAGAAGAAGCTAGAATATACAGTACTTACACTCAACTGAGTCAAGGTGCACCAGTAAATCCTCCTGATTGCCACTAGGCCTCTCTTGTCGCTTGGAATTCTGCAGCAGAATGAAGCAGCACCCTCAAGGAGCCAGTGGGCTGGAAAGAAAAGTGCACCAAGCCGGGCGTGGTGGTGCAAGCCTGTAATCCGAACACTTGCGAGGCTGAGGCAGGAGGATCCCCGTGAGTTCGAGACCAGCATGGGCTACATAACGAGACCCTGTCTCAAAAAACTCCCCCAAAAAAAGAAAGAAAGAAAAGTCCACCAGGAGAAATCAGAGGGGCTGGTGGATGCCAGACAGCCCAGGTTCATGTGGTAATTCCAC